CAAAATGAGTTTGACACTCCTGACTTATGTGATGCTCTGTCCTCAATACGATTCCCTGTTCCCAGTTTCGATGCTGAAGTCCAGCTGGTTTAAACCATGGATCAATAATAACAACTGGATAAAACACGTCATAAGTTATGGCTCCAGATGGATTAGTGGCCACTCCCAAAGGGGCCGGATCAGAAAACTCATGTCATATAAACCCCAAAAACAGCAATAAGTTAAAATATTTGTGTAGAGAAACACAAATCTATTACAGAAATCTTTTTTAATTGATGAACTCTTTCTTTTACAAAATATTATAATATTATGAACAACCTGAAACTTTAAGAAAAATGCAATTTCAACACAATGTTTTAACATGAACTTGTATGTAAATAGGAATAAGTACATTTTTTTCTTGTAAAATCCTGCACTCGGCTCCACTTTTCTCATGTTGGACATTTTTCTGATGAGGGTGTCACGGTCAACAGTCAAAACGATCGTCCTTTAAGAGCGTTTGGAAAGAGACAAGTCTTCATTTGTGCTGCTCTGGTGGGAGGGGCCACGTACAGAGACGCTGGAGACGCTACCAATATTTTAATAGAAAATATAATAAAAATATTTTTGTAGAAAATCAGCCGAGGGCCAGATTAAAGGTCTTGGAGGGCTGGATCTGGCCCCCGGGCCTTATGTTTGACACCCCTGGTCTAAACCATATTTAGTGATAAACTATAAACCTTAAACCATATTGCTACTTTTCGTCTTAAAATGCCTTGACAAGACTCAATCCAAAGAACTAAGACTGTAAAGTGTTAGAACTGTTATTTCTTCTTGTAGTCTGCACTGAAATGGAGCAAAGGATCATGGTCTATGTAGTTCTCTTTATCTTTTCTTATCTATTGCTGCACCATAACAATCCATGTATCATTCATTCATTCGTTAGTCCGCTCTGGTCCCGGTCTGGTCCCAGTCTGGTCTCGGTCTCAGTCTCGGTCTGGTCCTGGCCTGGTCTTGGTCTCAGTCCCGGTCTGGTCCCGCTCTGGTCCCGGACCTGGATCAGTCCTGGTTCAGTCCGTATGCGGTGCAAAAGTCCGGCATCGCAGTCACGTAAGTCACGTAAACGGGAAACGGCCATTATCCATTTTTTTCATTCTTCATTTAAACACAAAATCGAAAACTGCAAAAATGAATCGTTATCCGTTTTTTTTTTTTCATTTTGGTTTTGGAGACAAATAATGAAGAAAACAGTTGTTTTTTCATTTTCTTATTTTTGGTTTTATATTGAAAAATGAATGAATGAATAATACACGGATTCATAACTCTTCATTTAAGCAAAGAGACTTGTAATTTGATATATTGTGATGGTCCATGATATTATTGTGAGAACTTTGACGATATGATATCAAGATTATTCCTACATTTCTAATAGCTCTATATCTGAGTTTGACTGTCTGCAATAAACGCACAAATCCAAAACATTCAGCTCCCATTAAAGAGCCAAAAGTCCCATCAAGGCGCTGCCCAAATTCCTCTTTGCCGTCGTTCATTTCCTCCCTTCGCCCTCACGTTTCAACCATAAGCTTCTTCTTCTTCTCCGAAACGGTTCACGGAGCACCCCACCCCTTCCCCAACCCTCTAATTCTCCTCCAAACTTCCTCCAGCCGCTAATACTCAAGTGCAAACTCTTCCCCAGATTAACAACTCATCCGCCCCCATCCGCGAACTTTTAGCGGTAATTGTAGCTCACATTGAATTCCGTACACAGGACTTAGCGACAATGAGGATTTAGCTAATTAACTTCTTCAAAAAACATGTACCCATTACGGATCGAATTCCTTTTGGTATTTAGAGGGTGTTGAATTAATTAATTGCGCTAATGGCCCATTGGCGTCAACGAGGAAGGAATTCTAATGCGCCGCCTTAATTAAATATTATCGCACTGTTTAATCAATGCGTTTTAATTATTCACTTGATATTTTCGGCGGGAATCCATTTGGGTCGCGGCGCCGAGGCTCCGATTCCGCCCCCCACCCGCCCCTTCACCCCATCCCTCGCTGATTTATGGCAGATTCAGACGTTGTTTCGGAACCCTCTTTTAATCAGGGGGGCCTATAGGAGTCATTTGGCGGCGTTCCATAGGTTTTTCGCGGGAGAGTCGTTCGGATCGTTTGGATATCAATTTGGCGTCACCCCGGGTCGCGTTCTACAGCTGTTTGAAAGACGGGCCCTAATTAGAGATATGAGATGTTGCAATTACAAGGCCGGAGTTGCGGCTCGGCCCCGGGCGCGTCGGGAGAGCGATAGATGGCACCGTTCCATATTTTCCGGTATTAATGGACGACGCAGCGGTGATTTTCCTCATTGTGCTGGCGTAGGTTAATGACGGGACCGGTGTTGGGTTAGAGTTTTAGAGACACGAGGGATTCTGCGTCAAAGCCTGAACAGGTTTAGATATTTAAGATGTTTTGTTTTAGTTCTGTCAGCGTGGTTCTTCCTCACCTGGGTTTCATTTTTGGCAAAATCTGGTGACATAACGTAGAGCAGGACAACTCTGGATACGAAGTATGTATTTTTCGGACTATAACGTGCACCAGATTATACAGTGCAATATCAGTAATGTTGAATTCTGTCGTCTATTTTCATACATAAAGTGCACTGGATTATAAGGTGCATTAAGTGAAACAAACAGACGACACTTGAGACTTGAGACTTTTTTATTTCCTAGAGGAAGGACTCAAATATACATTGAGTAATATTGTGTTTAAAGCAGCTTTGTGCACATTTGTTTACGTTTTACAGAAATGAAACTTAAAATGACATGGCTCATTTGCATAAACTATAAACAATTAAAAAAAAAAAAAAACTGCTCGATCTTTGTGCGCTGATGTGGTCAGCTTCTGTTGGACTAAAGAACAAAGCTCAAATCCATCCATCTATTTTCTTCCGCTGCAGCAGTCTCAGCAGGGACTCCCAGACTTCCCTCTCCACACACACTCCCTCCAGCTCTTCCGGGGGATCCTGAGGTGTTCCCAGGCCAGCCCAGAGACATAGTCCCTGCAGCGTGTCCTGGGTCTTCCTCGGGGCCTCCTTCTGGTGCAACATCCCTGGAACACCTCCTGAGGGAGCTGCCCAGGAGGCATCCAGAACAGATGCACGAGCCTCAGCTGCTCCTCTGGACCTGGAGGAGCAGCGGCTCTACTCTGAGCTCCTCCTGAGTTCCTGAGTGATTGAGCTCCTCAACCTGTCTCTAAAGGAGCGCACAACCACCCTGCGGCCCAGTGGCTACACTCATGCCTCATGCCTGGGTGGGTTTCCTCTGGCGCTCCATCAACCCAAAAAACACGCAGCACAGGTCTCCAGGAAGAACAGCTGATAGCTAATGGAGGTCAATTAAATACAACATCAATTAAATAAATACAATTAAATTCACACATTTAAGGAATTCTTTATTATTAGTCTGTCTACATATCCCAAGCTCCACGCTGTGATGTCATGAAGTGGTAGTTAGATGTGTGTATCTATCTATATCTATATCTATATCTATATATATATATATATATATATATATATATATATATATATATATATATATATATATATATATATATAGTTTGTGTGTGTTTTTGCCTTTAGTGCAGTGGTCCCCAACCTTTTCTGCACCACAGACCGGTTTTATATCAGACAATATTTTGCAGACTGAATGGGGTTGGATTAGACCTGCTTTAGTCCTGGTTTTTGATCTGTTTTTGACCTGTTTTAGACCCTGTTGTAGATCTAGTTTAGTCCTGGTTTAGACCTGGTTTTAATTCTGGTTTAGACCTGGTTTAGTCCTGGTTTTAGATCTGTTTTTGACCTCTTTTTGACCCTGTTGTAGATCTAGTTTAGTCCTGGTTTAGTTCTGGTTTAGTGGTAGGGAGGGGATGGTGGTCCAATTCCAGGGCCATAATCACAGAAATGATTCGAGTGAAGGTGTATGGAGTTTTAAAACACAGTGGAGCACTTCCTGTGTTATCTCATAAGGTCGAACAGAGAGTTTTCAGTCTGAGAGAAGAACTCAGCCTAAATGTGCAGGGTTTGTGCGTTAAACATGTGTGAATGAAACAAAACACAACTCCAACAATTACAACTAGGGATGGGCATGATTAATCGATTAATCGATGATTGATCATTAAGAATTTCATCGATGACGTTAATTTTAATCGACAAACTGAATGTAGGTTGCTGTGCGTAATGTGACCAAACAGGGGTCTGTACGTGTGTCTCTGTGATCAGAAGGAGCGAGACACAAACAGAAACAGTGGGTCAGTCTGCAACGTACCAAAGCACAAATGTGGATTTAACGATGATTTGTACAAGAAATTCCACACTTTCCGTTGCGTTCGGGACAAGTGTGAGTCCATGTGCACAGTGTATAAAGCAGCACATATGTTTCGGTGTCCAGAGGGAAAAAGTTTTACCAGGTGAGAGTCGCTCAATGTCGATAACGAGTCCCCACCTCCCTCCCCCCGTACGCTGTCCTGGTTTTGACAAACGCAAACATGGTCACACTAACCTGTATTCACCTGAGTCATGTCTTTTAATCTGACAGAAGTTGAACGCATCAGTGACACAAGAGCTGTAGTTTTGTCTTCACTAAGTTTATGCAAATTAGCGATGCAGTTTTAAGTTTTGTTTCTGTGAGAGTTGAACAAAACTGAATTAAACACATTAAAATCTAAAACGGATTGATGTGGCTCTAGAGTCGTTACGGTTTATATGTCGTAAAGTTGAATTTATTTATGAAGATTAGTCGTGCAGATAGTAATAATAATGATGATCATTTTAATATAAAAACGTTAATGATTAATCGATAATCGATCGTTAATTCTTCCGACGATCGATTAAGAAAATTTCATCTAATGCCCATCCCTAATTACAACATAGATCAAAAAATACTAGTAGTGTATTCTGAGTCCTTTAATAATAAACTTGAACCTCGTCTTTTTAAACTCCTTCCGTGCTCCTCCGTGTGGCCCCAGAGGATGGCACACTCCACCTCCTCACCGCCCCCTGACGCCCGGCTTACCTTGGGCCGTCCTCCGCTCCGAGCCCGCGCCATATGTGGAAGAGACGGGGGGGGGTGGAGCTCTGGAAACCCGCCGCCGCCGCCGCCGCCGCTCGTGCACCCAAACCCAGGTACAGCGTCCCCGGCCCGGATACCCCCACCCCCCTCTGATCCGCCCCGGGCACCCAGGGGAGAGGAGGTGTTAAAACCTGAAGGGCCTCGGTCGGTCGTCGCTCTCGGTGTGTGTGTGTGTGTGTGTGTGTGAAGCCATCTGGTCCCGCCCCCTCCCAGCTGGCCACCTTTGATCCCAGCAAAGTTGAGCTAAAGCGAGGACGATGACGGAGGTGTTCCAGTGTGCCCCGGAGAGCGAGGGGGAGGAGGAGAGAGGGGGAGGAGGGCGGTGCGTTCAGGGACGTGTGGAGGAGTTCGGGTGAAGGAGAGAAACTTGGTGATGACACGGCAACGTTTGGGCCAAGATATTTCCACTCCGAAGTGACATTCACGTGTCCTCGAACATACAGCAAAGGTGTGTGTTCGTAGAGTGTAATAGTAGTAATGGTTTAGACCTGGTTAAGTCCTGGTTTACTCCGGGTTTAGTGCTGGTTTAGTCCTGGTTAAATCCTGATTTAGTCCTGGTTTTAGTCCTGATTTTAGTCTTGGTTTAATCCTGGTTTTAGTGCTGGTTTAGTCCTGGTTTTAGTCCTGGTTCAGACCTGGTTTACTCCGGGTTTAGTGCTGGTTTAATCCTGGTTTTAGTGCTGGTTTAGTCCTGGTTTTAGTCCTGGTTCAGACCTGGTTTACTCTGGGTTTAGTGCTGGTTTAGTCCTGGTTTTAGCTCTGGTTTACTCCTGGTTTTAGTCCTGGTTTACTCCGGGTTTAGTGCTGGTTTAGTCCTGGTTTTAGTTCTTGTTTAGTCCTGATTTAGTCCTGGTTCAGACCTGGTTTACTCTGGGTTTAGTGCTGGTTTAGTCCTGGTTTTAGCTCTGGTTTAGTCCTGGTTTTAGTCCTGGTTTAGTTTAGTCTGGTTTAGTCCTGGTTTTAGTTCTTGTTTAGTCCTGATTTAGTCCTGGTTCAGACCTGGTTTACTCCGGGTTTAGTGCTGGTTTAGTCCTGGTTTTAGTTCTGGTTTCATCCTGGTTAATCCTGGTTTAGACGTGGTTTTAATCCTGGTTTTACTCCTGGTTTAGACCTGGTTTTAGAACTGATTTTAGTCCTGGTTTACACCTGGTTTTAAAACTGGTTTTAGACCTGTTTTTGTCCTGATTTTAGTTCTAGTTTAGTTCTGGTTTAGTCCTGATTAAATCCTGGTTAAATGTGCTGCTTTGTCCACTGTGCACATGGACTCACACTTGTCCCGAACGCAACGGAAAGCGTGGAATTTCTTGTACAAATCATCGTTAAATACACATTTGTGCTTCGGTACGTTGCAGACTGACCCACTGTTTGTGTCTCGTTCCTTCTGAGTGCAGAGAGACACATGTACAGACCTGTTCTGTCACGCTACGCACAGCAACATACATTCAGTTTGTCGATTAAAATTAACATAATCGATGAAATTCTTCATGATCAATTATCGATTATTCGATAATGGAGACACATCGACTTTTCAGGCTGGTCCTCACAAGAGCTTTCTGAAAGAGTCTCGATCCTCTCAGATTGTCCTCACTTTCTCTGGGTTTGGGTTTTTATAATGCAAAATAGGTTCAGTTTTACCTTTATTACATAAAAAAAAAATCAGCTCGAGCACCTTTTAATTACTATATATGTTATTCAAAGCAGCATTTTCCTTCAGTCTGGATTAGAAAACCAAACGTGGCTCTTGAGCTGTCTGTGGGCGGGCTCGTTCTGCAGGTGCCAGACCACTCAAAAGCCCCTCAGCCGGCAGAGGGAGGCCCGCTGGGACCCTGCCCAAGACCTGCCTGGAGATTTGGACTTTTGGACTTTGAGAACCCAAACTCTTCAGCCCAAATCCGCTAAACGTCGGGGGCAAGATCTCATCAGCCGTCCGTGTTTTTTTGGGAGGATAACTGTTTTTCCATAAATCCATCTTAAGCGGTCACATTCTCCCCGCGGCTAATAGGATCATGATGGGAATAATCTGTACAAATCTGTCCCGGCCTTCAACTTGTTCCTCTCGGTAAATGAACAGTTTCAAGAGTCTTTCCTGTGGGGCCGGAGAAGAAAGACGTTTGGCAGTGGGACAAAACGTCGGACAAAAACAACGTCATTTTCCCAAGAGAGGAGTGGCCATTGTTACAGACGGTGGATTATGTCGGTCTTCTCACTGTGAATGAGTTACTAAAGAAAATCCAGCAGTTTGACTAAGTATGACTGTAAATGACTTGTTTGTACTCGATTAGAAACATAAAACACAGGAATTACTTTTACTTTTTTGTTTCTTGGGTTGAGCTAAAATGAATAAATATTTAAAGTTTCTCTGTTTGACTTTTTGTGAGGTTTAAACCATGTTTGAAAGTTGTTACCTCATCAAAAACATATCTGGAGTTGTGTTTTGTTTCCAGTGTTGGGGAGTAACAGATTACATGTACCAGAGTTACATAATCAGAGTACAAATTATGAGTAACTGTATTAAGTTACAGTTACTGTTTCAGTGAGTGGTAATTAGATTACAGTTACTTGGTTGAAATAAATGGATTACACAGTGGAAATTTTCCTGTTTTCACATTTTAGGCTAAATCCCCTTTTTTTCCCGGTAATTCCACTCATTACACTAAACCAGGTCTAAAACCAGGTCTAAAACCAGGTCTAAACCAGGTCTAAACCAGGTCTAAACTAGAAAAGCCCTCAGAGAGCGCAGACCTCCGCCAAGGACTACCCCCATTTTTTATATAAATTGCGATAAAATCAGTCTTCTGGATCAGATCCGGATCAGCCTTTGGAATATGAAAGAGGATCCCATTGTCCATCCCTGAGTCAAATTTCATGGGGTTTGGTCAATAATTAACTGAGATATTGAGAACATTTTTGGCCCCATTTACCACAATGTTAACTAAAATTTCAAAGTGATCCAGAATCCAGGATTTCTTCCGGATCACCCCCAAAATGAAATCAGTTCTTCCTTTGCACATTTCCAACAAATCCTGAAAATTTCATCAAAATCGGTCCATAACTTTTTGAGTTATGTTGCTAACAGACAAACAAACAAACAAACAAACAAACAGACAAACGCCGGTAAAAAGATAACCTCCTTAGCAGAGGTAACAAGGTCTAATCTAGGACTAAACCAGGACTAAAACCAGGTATAAACCAGGTCTAAAACCAGATCCAAACCAGATCAAAACCAGGTCTAAAACCAGATCTATCCATCCATCCATCCATTTTCGTCCGCTTATCCGGGGCCGGGTCGCGGGGGGAGCAGCCTAAGCAGGGACTCCCAGACTTCCTTCACCCCAGACACGTCCTCCAGCTCCTCCAGGGGGACCCCGAGGTGTTCCCAGGCCAGCCGAGAGACATAGTCCCTCCAGCGTGTCCTGGGTCTTCCCCGGGGCCTCCTCCCGGCGGGACATGCCCGGAACACCTCCCGAGGGAGGCGCCCAGGAGGCATCCGGAACAGATGCCCGAGCCACCTCAACTGGCTCCTCTCGACGTGGAGGAGCAGCGGCTCTACTCCGAGCCCCTCCCGTGTGACTGAGCTCCTCACCCTATCTCTAAGGGAGCGCCCAGCCACCCTGCGGAGGAAACTCATTTCGAGCGCTTGTATCCGCGATCTCGTCCTTTCGGTCACTACCCAGAGCTCATGACCATAGGTGAGAGTAGGAACGAAGACTGACCGGTAAATCGAGAGCTTCGCCTTTCGACTCAGCTCCCTCTTCACCACAACGGTCCGATACAGCGACCGCATCACTGCCGAAGCTGCACCGATCCGCCTGTCAATCTCACGTTCCGTCCTTCCCTCACTCGTGAACAAGACCCCGAATACTTGAACTCCTCCACTTGAGGCAAAGACTCCCCACCACCCGGAGAGGGCAAGCCACCTTTTTCCCGGTCGAGAACCATGGCCTCGGACTTGGAAGAGCTGATCTTCATCCAGCCGCTTCACACTCGGCTGCAAACCGCCCCAGTGCACATTGCAGGTCCTGGTTCGATGAAGCCAACAGGACAACATCGTCCGCAAACAGCAGAGATGAAATCCTGTGGTCCCCAAACCGGACCCCCTCCGGCCCCTGACTGCGCCTAGAAATTCTGTCCATAAATACAATGAACAGAACCGGTGACAAAGGGCAGCCCTGGCGGAGTCCAACATGCACCGGGAACAGGTCTGACTTACTGCCGGCAATGCGAACACAGCTCCTGCTCCGGTCATACAGGGACCGGACAGCCCTTAGCAAAGGGCCCCGGACCCCATACTCCCAGAGCACCCCCCACAGGACGCCACGAGGGACACGGTCGAATGCCTTCTCCAGATCCACAAAACACATGTGGACTGGTTGGGCAAACTCCCATGAACCTCGAGCACCCTATGGAGAGTGTAGAGCTGGTCCAGTGTTCCACGGCCAGGACGAAAACCACACTGCCAGTGTGGTTTTCCAGATCTAAACCAGGACTAAAACCAGGTCTAAACTATGTCTCAAACAGGATTTAACAGGACTAAACCATGTTCTGTGGACGTGTCTCCTCTTCTTCTATCAATAATATTTTTAATTTGGTTCAGTAAAGTCTGGACTTTTTAAAATTTTCTTTTATCAGACAAAACATCTTATGTGAAGATTTCCTCGTCTTTGCTTCTCTACAGCAAATCAAGTAATCCAAAGTATTCAGATTACATTACTCACTTTAAGTAATTTAAAGGATTACGTTACAAACTACATTTTGGTGTGTGTAATCTGTAATCTGTAGGGGAATACATTTTAAAAGTCACCTTCCCAACACTGTTTGTTTCATTCACACATGAGAAACTCTTTATTATTCGTCTGTCTACATCTCCAAATATACTGTGATTTAAAATGTACAAATTAAAACATAATGATTGATGGTGTCATGTTCTTTAAAGCAGATCCATCATGTAAAATCGACTTTTCTGAACTTTTAACCATTTTATAGCAATCGGAGCTGATCTTTAATCGCTTATTTACAAGACGCCATTTTGCCGGTCAATCCCTGCTTTTACTGCCTCTCTACAGATGAAAAAGAATGTGTTGCTCGCTCGTGTGATCTGCAGCTGTCCATCGCAGGTGCTGATTCTTTG